GAGTTGGATAAGAAGCATCGTTATCCATACTCAAATGTGTAGAAACTGAGATATATGTGATCTACTTTAAAAAGAAATGTGAAGCTGCTTGAATTAAAAGCAGATACATAATAAAAACATGAGTACTTAATAGAAAAACAGAGAAGCATGTCAGGAAGTGAACACATATATTAAAAACCTAAAATAACAATTTCTATGATTAAGCATTAAATTCAGCACTGAATTAACTCCCATTGTTCAAAGAAAAATTGGCAATATGATAAGAATGCAATCCCCATTTCATAATGGAAAATCCCATACTCCCTATTTAGGAGAGAAAAATTTTCCTTGTGCAAGGATCTATGTTTGAATAACACAAGAAATGTAATTGCAGCAACCATCTTATAAAATGCACAGAAATGTTTTCTATGTGATTGTTCTTACATTGAGTCTTAATAAACACGGAGAAAAAGACAACTCAATAAAAATGGGTAAAGCATATGTACAGATATTTCATCAAAGAATATATACAAATAATAAGCACACAAAAAGATGTTTAACATTGTTAGTGATCAAGGAAATGCAAATTTCAACCTCAATGAAATAATGCTTTAACTCATTAGAATGGTTAAAGTTAATGAGTGAAATTCCAAGGACTGATGAAGATGTGGAACAACGTGAACTTTCATATATTGCTGGTGGGAATGCAAAATGGTAGAAGAATTTGGGGAAACAGTTTGACAGTTTTTCATAAATGTAAATATCTTTACCATATGACAGAGCAATTTCATTCCTGGGTATTTATCCAAGAGAAATGAAAACATAAGTACACATGAAGACCTGTACGTAAATGTCATTAGCAGCTTTGTAATAGAACCCCAACCTGGCTAAAATCCAAATGTCCATCCACTGTTAAATGGATAAATAAATGGTTATAGAATCTCTATATTATTCATACACAGTTGACAAAACAAAGTTGTCCCTCCCATCTCCAGTGTACATTCTCATGAAGACAAGTAAGCAAATACACGTAAGAATAGTGGCAGGTAGTAAATAGTATTATAAGGAAAGATAAAAACGATCATGAATAGAAAGTAAAAGGGTATGAGACGGCAAGAGTTGAGATTTTCAAACATTTTAGCGTGGGTTGCCAGGGAAGACCCGTGAGTAAGTGTTATTTGAGCACAGCAATGAAAAAAGGAAAGAAGTTAGCTAAGAAAATGTCTGGGTGTATCTGGGCAGAGACAACAGAAAGTTCAAAGACCCCACAGAGGGATGCAATATGGTGTGTTAGATAACAGAAAGATACTCCGTGTATCCAGACCACAGCAAGCAGGGGCAAGAGAGTGGGGTCGGAGCACGGCTGTTGGGCTGTGTGAGCCTTGGTGAGAAACAGGTGTCGCAAGGATAGACACCGTCATTTTCTGTTTAGTATGTTACAAAGCTTGTCTTCCCAATCTGATATGATAGCATTTACACGTGCAGCACAGTTGCATGCAAATGGCAGCGTGCTCTTTGGTCTTCTCTCAAAGGGACAGAGTTCAAAAGCAGTTCCAGCACTATATAGAGTTTGTGATTAACAATAAGCAACCAGTTAAGAAAATCAGAAAGCAACATATATTTTTGAATCCCCAAGAAAACTTTTAAACCAGCTACCACATCTAATGCAAGTTGGAGCTTTGACATAAGATGTACCGTTGCTGTGGCAACATTAACACCACTCCCTCTAGCAACTGTCAGAGCAAGGTGTGGACAGAACACGCTTTAGTGATTTTACCATCTTCTGATGTAAGGAGGAATCCAGGGAGATGTTATCTCAAGTAATTGTCACTTCTTCTTAGGAAAACATTCTCAGAGGAATTGCAGTTCCTAAATCAGTCCTTCATTTTCTCTCACTTAAGGAACACTGACTATTTTAAACCCCTAGCCAAGATCTGAGATCTTCCTTCCCTTCTTCCCTGTTTCTTTCCTTCCCTTCAGCTATTTATTTCTCAATTATGTATTGCCCACCTACTGTGTGTTAGAACTATTCTAAATGCCAGAGATATTGTGGTAAGTAATGCAGCCAGAATCCCTGATTCATGAAGCTCACATTCTAATGAGAAAAACAGTTAATAAATATGTGAATAAATAATATAATATAATGTAAAAAGAGGTAGTGCTAAGTGCTATAAAACAATATTGTATGAGCTGAAAGAGTGAAGATTCAGACGGTCTTTTAGAAGAGATAATCGAGGAAGTCTCTGTGGATTGCAATTTAAGTAGAGGCCTGAAGGAATTGAGGGAGGGGGGGTTCCAATATCTGAAAAGGGAAACACGTACGAGGAATCTGGTGTTGGAATATATTTGGATTACTCAAGGAACTGTAAGAGAGGGGCAGGGAGGATATAAGCAAGACCCGTTTATGCAGGGCCTTGTCATAGATGGAGAGATGTTGGGTTTTATTTTAAGCATGATTATGGGATGTCATTGGAGGATTGGGTTGCTAACTGGGAATGTCAAGATCTTGTAAATATTTAAAAAGTATCACTCTGGCTGTGAAGCAAAAAAAAAAAAAAAAACTGTATAATATAAATGTTCGTGAGAAAAGTCGCAGCAGAAAAGATGAAGGGGTTCCTTTCCTATTCCACGTTAGAGAGGATGACGACTTAGATGAGAGTGGTTGTCTTCATACATTATGTAGCACTGGAATTTAGCCTTGAAGGATGGTGTGTCAGGATTATAGCCATCTGAGTAGAAATGTGATTGCCATGATTTAGCCACATAAGGAATTAGATTATTTTTCTAGGAAGTAAAAAGCCTGGAAATAGGCAGTTCAGAGCAAGCACCGCCACTCAAAGGAGTCACCAAACACATGGGCTCCATTTTGCTTCCTACAACGCTGTCCTTAGCATGTGCCCCTCATCCTCTAGGTTGCAGGATGGCGGCTCCACGTCCAGGCATAGCAGCCACACTCCAGACAGAAAGAACAAGGAGACACCCAGGAAAAAGGAGCAGTGCTTATATCAGGAAAGCCAATTTTCCTAGAAGCTCCCAGGGAGCTCTTGCATCTGTTGTATTGGTCTGACCTGGATGACGTGACTAACCCAGGAGGCAAGAGAGTCCAAAGATGGGGATAGTTTTAGTGAGGCCCATTTCTACCACAAACAAAGTCAGGACTCCATTGGTAAGAAAAAAGAGAAAATTGCTATTTGGTAAGCAACCATGGACGGTAGGATTTCCACAGGTGAGGAGTACATGGAGGATGAAATCATTCAAGAGAAAGGGAAGAAGGGGAGACAGAAGACAAGAATGAAGGCTTAAAAAGAGTATCGGTATTTTAAAAAAAGATGGTATCTTCAGAGAAGTCTGCACCATCCAGCTGGCTCAGTTTTAGGAGCAGTAACTATTAGATAAATCCAGAAGGTTGGTTCGAGTCAGGCCATGAGGTTGCTAAAGGCATCTGGACTTTATGCGACAGGCAAACTAACACCCCTGCAAATTCAAGAGCATTAAAGAAAATCAATGGATGCCTGCACAATAACAATCTCTAGCCCTCCGGCTCTCGTAAAGACACGCTGAGATAATTTGTGCAAAGTGTTTAGCCCAGTTCCTGGCACACAGAGGAACGAATACCATTATTACATGATACACTAAAACGGAGAAAGCCCACAGGTAGGGAGCCCAATTAGGAAGCTTATCCAGAGCACAAAGAGGAACAGAGGGCCTGAAGCAGGCTGGACGAGAGGAAGGTTTTCATCATCTTACAGCAAACACGTGAGAGCCCCTGGAAAAGTAAAAGCATGAGGCTGCTTCTCCCATATTGGGAGGGAGGGGGAGGAAGCACCTAAGATGTTTGCTATGATCCATGCTCCTGAGGAACACGGACATCCATGTGGCAGAAAATGCCATTCCGTATATTCATTTGTGTTTTATTTCAACCTAGGCAGAAACAAATCAGAAGTATTTTTTCCACTGCTGTACCAAAACCTCTGTGTTCTGAGCCTAGGCTTTCTGAACTACAAAGGTAGTTAACAACTTCTTATTGAAAGGCTAAAAACAGAGATTGAATGTACCCACAAGAAAATCTCCCATTCAGGCTGTGATCTGGGGAGCTTAGATCTATTAAGGAAAGCTTGGACTGGGAGTGGAGAGGGATAAAAGGCCAAAAAGAAGAGGAGAAAGGCTTATTTGCCCAAGACTTAGCGTGGTTCTGGTGGCTCCTGGAGGGATGGGTACCTCTGTCCTCCCAAAGCTCAAAACCAAAAGAGTTTTCCTTTGGTTTGACACAAAATTAGGAAGAAGAAGGTTGATAAAACCAATAGGTGAGAGGCAGAGCACAGAAGGCAGGCAGCAGGGTGGTCTCAGCAAACAGGGGGTGCTGAGGAGGTGTGGGCTAGGGGGATCCCCTCTCTGAAATGACAGAGCATGGCGGAGGTGGGGACATTTTTTGTTTTTGAGACAGAGTGTCACTCTATTGCCCAGGCTGGAGTGCAGTGGTACAATCTCAGCTCACTACAACCTCTGTCTCCTGGGTCCAAGTGATTCTCCTGTCTCAGCCTCCGGAGTAGCTGGCACTACGGGCACGCATCACCATGCCCACACACCCAGCTAATTTTTGTATTTTTAGTAGAGAAGGGGTTTCACTATGTCGGCCAGGCTGGTCTCAAACTCCAGACCTTAGGTGATCTGCTCGCTTTGGCCTCCGAAAGTGCTGGAATTACAGGTGTGAGCCACCCCACCCGGCCAGGGGTATTTATTTAATTCCTGGCTCCCACGCTACCCAGAGTGGGGCTCAGGCAGGACCCACCACCCCACCATGTCAGATGCAAAAATCCTCAAGCAACAGCACCTCTGTCCTGCCAGATGCTGGGAGGGGTCACTTCACCTACCTGTTCATCTCACGCCATCTAAACCCGGAAACCTCCTTTAGTAACATATTCCAGATGCCTAAGGAGAACCATTGGCTGACCCATTGTTTGAAAAGTCAAGGAAACTAGCAAAATGGATTGCTGCATTTTAAAGGTTTGGTGATTTCTTACCTCCAGCAAAGTTGAGAAATTAACCATTCCAGCTCCTCACTTCATGACCTCTCCAAACTTTAAAGATGACAAGTGTGAATGGCAACCCCACTTCAGGGGGCCTGCAGGTCACGTCGGCTGCAATCCACAAAAATGGATCCATGTTAGAGAGGCCAGATTTAAAATGTCATTTTAAGGTTTTATGGTCAGGCCATAAAACAAAACAGATTTATGATAGAAATAAAATACAGCTCCTTTCCTTAGCGCCTGGTCACAAAAGCCTTCTTTTTTTTAAATCCTGAGTACCATACAAGCTGTGTGATGAGAAACTGCGACAACCTTCCACCCTATGGGGAAAGAGCAATAGCCTGCCCGCTGGTCCCTCTTTTTTCTATTGGGGCTGTCTTAATTGGTCCCAAGCTGATTTGGAGAGAAAAAGCCTGGGATTCCCACCTGGAGAAGGGACTTCCATTATGACTGAAGAGCAGGGAATTACTTTGGGGAGGGGAAGTGCCTCCCCCTCACTGCGAGGGCGCACTCTCCTTTGACCCGTTCACCCAATGCAAGGAGCCGTGCTGGAGCAAGACATCTCTCTTGCAAATCAAAGCCTGGAAGCTGCCACCAGCTGCCCCTTCACTTTGCTCCATCCGTTTTTGGTTAACTAATTGAATTTCCCTTTTATATTCTCCATGCTCGCTTCAGGCTGGCAGGCGGCAGTGCCACTGGCAGCCCACTTCTATGTATGAATTGGCTGCCACGCGCCACAGTCAGCCTCTTCGTGAACTCTCTGTGTGCTAGTTCAGAGAGCACTGTTCTACCATCATCCCACCATGGCACTTCCAAATGGCTGGGTATAATTGGGTTCAGAGGAGTTCAAAGCCATGCTCCAGCATCCTTGTATCAAAGCTCATTGAGCAACGGGGGAACCGTGCACTGAAATGCAGGCATGGGGTGAGGAGAGTTATTAGTGGAATACATTCAAATCTGTCTTGCTAGATTCCTGGGTACACAACTGGTTTTTGGTTCAGCCTTTAAGAGTTCAGGTGTGGTCCCCAGGAGAGGGCTCCTCTAATCGCTGTAAAAATATCTCATTTGTACTAATGCACTTTGCCTATTTCATAGCGGATCCTTGTGAGACTAATTTACATTTTTTTTAAATGTCAAGGCTTTCTCCAGAGATTGTTCATTCATTATATTTATTTTCTCGGACATGATTTTAACAAACCTTCCCCTGAAGAGCTTGCAGCTATTAACTTTACCGAGCAGTTGCTCATGAGAGAGTTAAAGGCAAATGGTCTAAGGGAAAGGACAAAGGCAGCACACCTCAGGGGTATTCATCTGCCCCCAAACTCATTTCATTAGTTCTTCCTTCACAGGCCATGACCAGGAAGAGGGAGAGGAAATGCCTGCTGTCCTTCAGTGGGCCAGGATATTCCACCCAGGGCTAATCACCACATTCTGGCACATTCTCATTTTAGTGGGCCATGCTTTGGGACCTCAAGAACAGAAATCATGTCAAGGGAGTGCTATCAAGGAATTCAGGACAGGAATGAGGGGAGTATGAATTACATGGGTGTCCGATGGCTGCATGATCTATCCTCACTTAATTAGAGTCTCTTGTCAACTCCACAATGGTAATAGCTCCAGCCCACCCCTTGGGGAATTTCCCTCTTCCCAGAATGCATACTGCCCACCTCCAACGTTTAGAATCAGGGACTCTTACAGTTAAAGTGGTCCTAAATAGCTCCTGAAAAACTCCCTATTCTGTGGAAGAATGTCCCCTGTTACACAACTGTTCAACGGGGGCAAAGAGCAGGAGCACCCTTTCTTTGAATGCCCTCCACACCTAGAAGTCCTCCTTCTCTTAAGACAGTGGTGTCGTTTCTTTAATAGTCCGAATCACTGTAGGATTCTCCCTTCCAGGAGCTGAGTTCTACTGCCAGCATTATCATCGTTTCAGTGTCTCCTTTGGAGCAGTAGACACGTATTTACTCTTATTTTCACAAAAATAGCTCCTCCACTGAAACAAGTACACATTTTATGCTTGTTCACCATTCATGTATTCCAAAAATATGCATTAACTGCTTCTAATTGCCAGGACTGTGCTGTGTGCTGGGGACGTAATGGTTGTATACCTCTCCTCACAAAACTCAGAATCCAGGGAGGAGGTTTTTTGTTTGTTTGCTTGTTTGTTTGTTTGTTTTTTTAAATGGAGTCTCACTCTGTTACCCAGGCTGGAGTGCAGTGGCATGATCTCAGCTCACTGCAACCGCCCCCTCCCACCCACCTCATTAAAGCGATTCTCCTGCCTCGGCCTCTCAGAGGTTGCTGGGACTACAGGTGCCCACCACCACACCCAGCTAATTTTTTTTTTTTTTTGTATTTTTAGTAGATACAGGGTTTCACCATGTTGGTCAGGATGGTCTCTATTTCTCGACATCGTGATCCCCCCTCGGCCTCCCAAAGTCCTGGGATTACAGGTGTGAGCCACTGTGCCTGGCCCCTGGGAAGAGTTTGAATCTAGGATTGGAACTATGCTAAGTGCTGTATTTGCCTTGATTTACTCCCCTCTAGAGAGAATGTTTCATGTCCTTCGATGCTTTCCAAATAAGCCACAAACCACTGTCCTTCAATGCTTTCCAAATAAACCACAGCGCTTTACCCTCTGGATACCTTCTCTAACCAGGATGCAATTGATACCTGCGGCTAAGAAATGGACACAGATCTTCACATTTGTCTCACTTTTGTTTGGTCTAGCATTTCAGGTAATCCAGCATTCACAGGCACATTGTGGCCCACAATTTCATTTATGTGAAGGAAAACGTACTCTATGTTGTTCTGAAATGGTAGGGGAAGAAAGGTATGGCCAGGGCCGAGGAATGGCTAGACTTAACTGAAGCAATCAATTCCCTTTGGACAATATTAGGGAAGAGGTCGAAACTCAGGCTTCAAACAATTTAGGGGAGAGGCCTTTCAGAACACTGCGCATGCCTCAAACACTGCCCTCTCTGTTCCCCCTGGCAATGCTGGCCATACTTGGAAATCACAGCAGTTGTAAGGTTTTTTTTTTTTTTTCTATGCACCTATTTAGAGCATGTTTTTATTCATAATTAAGAGTCCTTGAAGCATTTACCTAGGCAATTTCAAAACAGACTTAGCAAGAAGGGAAATAATACAAGTCACAAAATTGTCTGGAGCTCCCTTCCTGCTCCCTCCTCCAGGACTCGCCATGCACTCAGCCACAGCTGACCTCTCCGTCTTTCCTGACTTCAGGTAGGAGTGGTTCCATTGTCACTTCTGAGTGACGCTTTCTCTAACTCCATCTAAAGTAGCATGTGTCATCAGCCTCTCTTCCTTACCCTACTTTTTCTTTCTTCTTCTTCTTTTTTAGCAATTATAACTAACCAACATTAGATTGTTTGGTATTTATTTATTTATAAATTGTCTGTATCCTGGAGCTTATGCTCTAGGCGGCCAGCAACTTTGTTAGCCCCTCAATCCTCAATATCCAAAAGAATGCCTTGTATGAATCAGCTTTATGTTGAATGACTGAGAAGATGAATGGATGATGGGGAAATCTGTTAAATGGAAGAAGAAATACCTGCACTACCCAGTCCCAGACCACAGGGCCTAGGCCAGATGACTTCTAGGTACGCTGCAACAGTCTATGTTTTATATGTAAGTGAAATATTATTTTGCAAATACTGTCCCTTTTAAGATTAGGGAAGGTTGCCACAAACTCTTACTCTAAATTTATGCATGGCGCAATGCCCACTTTAAAATTCCACAAATTCCCAGGGCCACCTCTGGCTCCAAGCTCCTTCTTCTTCCACTGAGTCAGTGGGTGTGGCATATGGATAATTTCAGGCTTCTCTCTTCAGGGCGCACCTATTCAGCCCTGGAGTTCAAGTTTCCCGAATTTTCACAGAAAGCTACTCCCATGCAGCGCTATGGGGACATCTGAGAAGATAAGCAAAAAAAGTCCAGCTGTTCAATCTCCCTGCCACGTGGCTAGGTTCTTATCTCCTCTCTCCTCTCTCTCCAGTTCCCATTTTACAGCTCTTTCCTGTCTTCTCCGGAGCAAAGAAATGAATTCTGCTTTCTGATGCAGAACAGCTAGGCAGTTTCCACTGTCTGCCTCCCAACTTAACTCTAGTCTTATCTTTCTACATGGAAAGACTAGTCAAAGGCTTGAGTCCTCACCCTCCTCATCACAGCAGCAGGCAGAATTCTACAGAAGCCCTCCTCCAAGATTCCTGTCCTCTGGTTATTCAGCCAAACACTAGTCAAGAATCTGCTGGGAAGAGGATTTGAAGATGTAGTTAAAGCCCAAGTCAGTTGACCTTAAGATTCAGAGATGATCTGGGTGGACCTGACCCAAACAGGTGTGTACTTTGGAATGAGAGCACTTTCTCTGGCTACTAGCTGATGAGGAAGTCAAAGAAATTCAAAGCACAAGGTAGATGGAACACAGTACACGGTTGCTTACTTGAAGATGGACTCTGAGCTCCTTCTTCCACTGAGTCAGTGTGTGTGGTGTATGGGTAATTCAGTTATTCTGGTTACTCAGTCAAACACTCATCAAGGACCTGCAGTGGAATGCAGTGGCTTTGAGCTGATGGAAGCTCATGGCCCGCAAGGAAACAAAGACGTCAGTCCTGTGGCTGCAGGGGATAAAGTTGGCTAACAACCTGAATGAGCAAAGAAGCCCATTCTTCCCTAGAGCCTCCAGATAAAAACCCAGCTTAGCCAACACCTTGATTTTGGCCTTGTGAGACCCAGAGCAGAGGACCTAGGTGAGCCATGCCAGATGTGTGACCCACATAACTGTGAGTAATAAATTCATGTGGCTTTAAGCTGCCACATTTGAGGTAGTTTCTTACACAGCAATAGAAAACTAACACAATCACCATGGTTTTCATCACTTAGCATGTCCCAGGTTCTATGCTAAGCACTTTACATGATTATCTTATCCAATCCTGGCACCAACCACTACTTGGGTAATACAAATATCCTTATTTTAAAGGCCACAGAGGCCTTTCGCGTGAAGTCTAGATGTATATATAGTAAGTGGTAGAACCATAATTCAAATCCAGACAGCATGTGTCCAGAGCCAATGCCCTTAACCAATATGCTTT